GGCGGTAGTGGCAGTGGTGGTAGTAGTAGTAGTGGCGGCGGTGGCAGGCAGAGCGCGCGGGAGTCCCTGTCGGTGATCGTGCCGCCTCAGGACGTGGACGTGGACTCGCGCGACGCCGACGACTCGGAGCTCCTCAGTCCGGGCAAGCTAACGCCTACGTCGGGGATCAGCGTGTCGGTCGCGAGCATGATCGACGCGACGGACTTCAGGGCGATGCAGCCGGAGCCGACGTATCAGACACTGACCTCGGTGGCCGAGAGGATGTCGCCGCCCGGTTTCAGTCCGGGCTCGTCGTACGCCACGCTGACGCCGCTGCAGCCGTTACCGCCAATCTCTACTATGAGCGACAAGTTCGTTTATGGCGGTCACGCGGCCGGCGGCGTCACCGGTAGTTTCGCCGTAATGCAGAACAACGGCCTGGGTAACATCGGCCTCGGTATGGGCGGTTCGCCGTACGCGTACGACAAGCTACCTACGATGGGCATGTCGCCGCCGCACAATTACCCGTCGCCGGGCGCGGGATTGCAACCGAGTCCGCTCTCACCTCAGAGCGCGTACAGCCAAAGCGGCCTCAACTCGCCGCACAAGTCGTCCGCGAGTCCGCATTATGATCCGGCTTTTTTGCCGCGTTTACAACAAAGTCCGGCGGCACTTAGCCCGTCTTCGCCGCCGGCCGTCTCGGCCACAGCGAGTTTCGCGCCATCGCATCATTCCCCGCCCGGCACGCATTCGGTACCGAGCGCGGCATCGCCGCCACCAACCATGCAGACGCAGCTACAACAGCAGCAGCAGCAACAGCAGCAGCAACAACAGCAGCAGCAACAGCAGCAGCAACAGCAGCAGCAACAGCAGCAGCAGTCGATGCCGCAGCAGCAGACGATATCGCACACGCAGCACGTGCAACACACATCGGTGGTGATGAAGACGGTGTCGGCGACGGGCAACGGCGGCGCCGGCGAGGTCGAGGAGATCAACACGAAGGAACTCGCGCAGCGTATCAGCGCCGAGCTCAAGAGGTACAGCATACCGCAGGCGATCTTCGCGCAGCGGGTGTTGTGTCGCAGCCAAGGTACCCTTAGCGATCTGCTGCGCAACCCGAAACCCTGGTCCAAGCTCAAGAGCGGCCGTGAGACCTTCCGGCGGATGTGGAAGTGGCTGCAGGAGCCCGAGTTTCAGAGAATGTCGGCCTTACGGCTAGCAGGTTAGTCGTCCACGCGTCAGAGAGACACCCCCACCCCTCCCCCCAATTCACCACGTATATACAAAACTCTTCCCCCCCCCCTACCCCCACGAACCACTCGAATCGAAACACTCAGCCGAAATTCTCACCCATACACTTTTCGTGTGTTTATCTATTTTTACAAGAAAACAATATAACATTCGGTTTCTTCGGACCGAATGTTGTCGTCGTCATCGTCGTCATCATCGTCGTTGTCGTCGTCATCGTCGTCATCGTCGTCGTGTGAGTCTCTCGCACACGTAGTGTATACGAACACCTGTCAACATCACGAACACGTTTGTGTCTCACGCTTCACACACGTGTCTCGCTGCTCGCCTGTGTTCTCGTCCTGCACATCCTTGACATCGATCCCCGATCGATGATCGCGAGATACCTCGAATATCAATGCTCCACGCCGTGACGTTCACCAGTATTTCGTGGCTCTTTAAAATCGTCCTTACGCCTTCTGAGAGCCACTCTTTAGGTTTCCAACTAAACTGAGTATTTAATATCACACTCTCGTATCTCTTCGGCAGAACAGACTTAAATTGGCTTTTAAAAACGAGTTGGTCATAAGAAAGATCTGTGATGTTTAACCTTATTCGTCCTTCTTATCTTTTAT